ACGAAAAGCATGTTTTTTTGGCTATCCCGCGTCCTGTTTTTTTTATCCGTAACATGGGTCTAAAGTATCAAACTGCCGCCATGTTCTTCCCAGAAGTGGTGTGCGATACGTGTCTCGAGTAGTTCCACAACAATGAATGGCGTCACTTTTCCCAGTATAGAGGGGCTTTAGGTATAAGTAGTGCGAGGGCTACTCAGGTGAGTTTGTACTGCCCGAAATGAGGGCGTCACAGTTTGTTGAAAACTTCAGCGCAGCAGGTCTCTCCCGGGCTAAAAGTAAGCAGATTCCAATTCGTTTCATCTTTTTTTTTTTTTTCAACGTCGGATCTGAAATGGTTAATAAATAGAAATTCCTCGCTGGCATGGACAATTCACAAAGGACACTCTTGACACTCAACCAGAAACGGCGTGGCGTACGGTATGTCAAGATGGCGTCGGCGCGGCCCATTCCGTTCTTCACAGATTTTGGACCAAAATGGTATTGAGACAATATTTCCGATTTGAGGCCAATATCGGCGTAATTTTGTCTGCTGACTGGGTTGTATACCCCCACGTCTTCGTTCGTCTTTTGCGAGCGAAAGAGTTTTTATTTATTTATTTTTTTCAATTCAAGGATTGATAAAACTGATGCACGCGGGACACGTAATATTCGGCTCGCGGCGGACGGAGATTTCGATCGGAGTTGCAAAAACTATTCTCTAACACTTTCTAGCTATACGCGACTTCGTGTGGCGATTGATTATACTCGATCTTTGTAGCGCCGTACATCAGCAACAGTTTTACAAAGGAATGAGCATGAACGGCTATGAAATCATGGGTATATTCTACTGGATCACCTATACGTCCCTTTCAGACCGTGTGAATGAAGGACGTAAAATTCGCCCATACACCCATTTTACACGTTATCAGAGACCATCGCTACAAGTAGGGCGTAAAAATGGGTGTGTAAGGGGTGTAAATCATCAGCACACCCTTCTTACACCCACCGATATTCAGAGATCATGTAAAAAGGGTGTAAGAAGGGTGTCTTTTCTAACTTACACCCTGTTTACACGATTATGGGTGTTACAATGTTTATTGTGTACTCTTGTCAAGGCGTCGTGTCATTTCTAAAGACGCACTTTCACTCTTGTAAAAGCTGCGATTTTTTTTATAACTTTGTAAAACCTGGCTCTGATCTAGAAACACTGATTTCAACTGTGTTTTTTTATATAAATGATACGATACAAATATATGTAAGGAATATACCTAGCAAGCAATCCATTATTTCAGCGGCATAGAAATATAAAATTTAGCCGCCGAAGTGTTGGATTCTTGTGTGCTATAGAGATTTACTGCTTAAGAAAGCAGAGGGTGGCGAGTCTTGAAAATCATATTAATGCTTCGGAAGCAGTCAAATTTCGGCATTAGTAAATAAGAGTGTCGACAAATCAGTCAGTGTGTGAACAAAATAAGCCACACCCTGGCTGCTTTCTTAAGCCGTTAGTGGCTACTCTCTAAGGAATCCTACAGAAAAAGTCGCGATTCGTTATGTTCGATCTAGAGCCAATCTTAGAAGCAAAAGCTCAGCAATCACTGATTCATCGCACCTTTCAGAACAACCCTAGAAGCTGGTAAACGCTTCATTGCACTCCTAAGCTTCGGTTGTGCAGCACTGGCCGACTGAATAATGTATCTTTTTAGGGTAATAGGAACTCCACTCGGTATTTATTAGTAAAACACTAAACATACTTAGGATACAAAAATTCTAGAAATAAATGAATGTACCTTTTGAAACTGCCTGAATTTTTTATATGCAAACAAATTGCAAAACAATTAATTGAAATGAGCAACTGTGTCAACAGCATAACAATATAGCATCCGTATATTGATAGGCGAATGAAGAGCAAAGCGATATACTATACACTCTCAGCAAAATTGGACATATTTGAGGCTTTCTTGAGGGTCTTCAAATTCCTTTGAAGTGAATTCTTCAGAAACAAAATTGCGGAGTTTGCATTAATAAATACACAACGTTCTTTTTTTTTTGAAGTGGGTTGTTTTTAGTTGCACAATTTAAAACGGTAAACTGTGTGGGCACCCTGGCGGCTCCCAAGCCAAGTTGCCCGACTGCGAGGCTCAAGCCGAATTTTTCCCGCGTGGCGGCGACGTCACGCCAGCCACGCGCACATCGGATGCGCCGCCTTGATAAGGCAGATCAGAGGCGGCGCACGGGGAGTCGCTGCCTGGACTCCAGCAGCGCCGGTAGCAATGTTAATCGTCTTGTCCATGTCCAATTAAATGTAGTTTCTTGTTGTTGAAACCGCCGGCTCCGTGTTATTAATCCGGGTCGGGTATGCAGCAAGGCAAACCGACCACAATGGCGCCCAACCGTGATATGCTACCCACTCGCAGGAATTTCACGGGGCTTGGTTTCTTCTTTCGGTAAGCCTTTTTCATATTCCCCGTGTTTCCTATCGTTGTTTCGTGCTTCCGTCACGTCCACGTTTGTTGTATTGGCGTGTTTGTGACCGTGTCTTTGTGAACGCGGCAATCGTTTTGCGCGCTTGTGTTGGGTTTTTGGGGGCGTTTCTTTTTTTTGTGCTTGCAGGAATGCTCACGCGGGAGCAGGAACCCGCGATGGCCGCAGCAGCACAAATGAACCTGCTCACGAAGGTCACGGAGATGTGCGACTCCGTGATGCAGCGCCTGGCCCACACGCCTGGCCAGCAGGAGACCCCACCGCGAGAGCCCAGACCACTTTTGACTGTTCCGGTCTACATGGGGTACGACGACGTCAAGTCCGTGGCAGACTTCCTGGGCGAGCTGCAGACGTACCACCTTGCCTCCGGTGCCTCAGAAGTTCATCGTGGACCGGATTGTCCCGCTGGCGTTACAAGCCAGCGCCAGGTGCTGGCTGGGGTCACAGGCCCCCTTCACCAGCCTGGCGGACTTCCAGACAAGGCTTCGAGAAGAGTTCCTGCCTGCAGGCTACGCGACACAGATTCTCCGAGAGCTTGAGGCAAGGACGCAGCACCCGGATGAAAGTCTGGTCCGGTACGTTCGGGTCATGCAAGAGCTCTTCAAGAGAGCGGACCCGAGGTCACCGGAATCGGACAGAGTAGCTCGGGTCAGAAGACAGTGTCACCCCAGGTACCATAGCTACCTGATCAACCGCACCTTTGAGACCCTTGAAGAGCTAGCCTGGGGCGCCCGCCTCATCGAGGAAGCTCTTCATGCCGAGCGGAACTACGTGCCGCCGCCACCAGCCAAGTACGCGCTCGAGCCGGCATGCGCAAGGCGGGGCCCCGAGGCCTCCTGGACTGTCCGAACGAGACCTCCCTTCCCCACCACGTCAACCAGGAGAGTTGGCGTGGCATGCATGGTGATATCCCGTGCGGGATAAGCGTATGTTCGCCTAACTCTCCCCGAGAGGTCTCCGGAGGTCACAGCGAGGCCCGTGAGGGTTTCGGGCGGGGGTCGCCACGACAGGTTGGAGGTCGTTGGCCGTGCCCTATCGTAAGCTGGGGCCCAACGGAGATCACCACTCAAGCGAACCATCTTCATCAGTCCGCTCCTGCAAGTGCTGGCGAAAACTGGCACGGTGCGGTCGCAAACCCGCAGCTCAGCAGCATTGACCCCCGCCGCAACGGAACAAGCCCTCCCCACAACAGCCAGTCGCAAGCCTGGTGGAGGCCCTCCCATAGTGGTTCCTTATCCGATCACTGGAGGCGGTCCGACGGGCACCTCGGTGCGGGTGGCCTAAGCAGGCAACTGTCGTCGGACTGCTGCTACGAGTGCGAGCAGCCCGGCCATCACCGAAAGCAGTGTCCAAGGCTTCTGGACACTACAAACAACCAGGGGCGACGTGACTTGCAGTTCGAGGTGGGAGATTTTGTACTCCGGCGTACTCACCCACTGAGTGACGCCGCTCGAGGCTTCGCAGCCTCCTCGCGAACAGGTGGGCAGGTCCGTTTCGCGTGCGTGAAAAGTGCTCACCACTCACTTACAAACTAGTTAACTGTGAGTCTAGTGAGGAAACCGGACCTGTTCATGTCACCGACCTTAAACGATTTTTTCAAGCAGAAGACGAAGATTTCTCGCAGGACCGGAACGACACTGACGGCAGTCCCGTTCCGGAAACCCCCTTGTCTCCACCAAGGCGGCGGTATAACCTGCGACGTCGGTGACACCAAAGAGAGAGGAACCTTTTTATTTTTGTCTCCTTGGCTTTGCCTCTCTCGCATTTCGGGGGTAGTTTTCTACTTCCACGGATCTGCCCCTTTTTCAAGAGAGGGGGGAGAAGATTGTGTGCCCACCTCAGATCCGTTATTTCAAACTTTCTGGAAGGGGTCCGAAGATAACGTCAGGCTCAGTCCTCAACTGAGTCCCATGTCGTCTGCTTTCATGTTTTCTACGAAGCTGACTCATGGACAAAACCGTCGCCACACCCGCCATCTGAACGACACGGCGGCCGGTCTCATCGTGGACCGCGGCCACCCTCTACAGGACGGAGCAGCAGCTGGCTAGGATCAAGGACCACGTGCAAAGCAGCCACCTGGTGGAGCCCTGATCCCGAACAAGCGACAAGCTGGAGCTGTCCGAGCCGCCGCGCTCGTCAGCAGCCGCCGCGCTCGTCCAGCAGGCGCCGGCCGGACTTACGACGTCAGTCCGCCCAACAGCGCCATCCACCCCCTGACGCCCACAACGTCTCCGCCATCGACATGCCGGACGAAGCTTGAGGGGGGGGGGGGGAAGTGTGGGCACCCTGGCGGCTCCCAAGCCAAGTTGCCCGACTGCGAGGCTCAAGCCGAACGTTTCCCGCGTGGCGGCGACGTCACGCCAGCCACGCGCACATCGGATGCGCCGCCTTGATAAGGCAGATCAGAGGCGGCGCACGGGGAGTCGCTGCCTGGACTCCAGCAGCGCCGGTAGCAATGTTAATCGTCTTGTCCATGTCCAATTAAATGTAGTTTCTTGTTGTTGAAACCGCCGGCTCCGTGTTATTCCTCCGGGTCGGGTATGCAGGAAGGCAAACCGACCACAACTGAAAAATTAATAGTCTGTACAATCAAGTATTTAAACGTAAGGAATTTTTCATTTGAGGCGCAGTTCACGAACACGAAAGCAGAAACGTTAATTTTATTAAAGTCATTTTCGTTCTAGAGAATATTAATATCTTTACGCCACATGGCGGCGCACATATAATATTCAAGAGAATTACGCAAGTCATAAATATGTTGTAATTTTACTTATTTGCTGTACATCTTTCCAAAACAATATCGTAGGGGAAAAGATTATTACAATATCCTACCTCTTAGACGGGAATGGATTTCAAGACCAAGATGCAGGTAACGACGCAAAACTAAAAAACTGGGTCAAGGATGTCCAAAAAGAGGTATGATAATTATTAAATATATGAGAATATAAAAACAATATCTCGTTTTGGCCGAGGTGCAAGAACCCCTGCACGCTAAGATGCAACAATTCATATATCTATTTACCGGGCTTATATGGTTACTCTGCAGAAAAAGGTCTAAATACTGAAGTCTTACTTTCTACTATTCATCTACTATGTCCCTTCCTACTATATGAGTATAAACATAGAACCTGAAAAAAATGTGAAACTCGAGGCTTTATAAGTATTTACAGCGCTTAAATATACCATAATGTCGCGCAGTGTCACAGTGATATTACCCAATTTAGTGCAAGCAACATTTCCTAACTGTATTCTAAAGTAAGAACCTCAATTCTAAATATTACTAGTGTAAGCGCGGATAGACGTGATTAAACAATTTCCTACCCCCGAGAAACAAACTCGTTGCTAATACTCATACCCAACCTTAATTATATATTCTACGTGTAGGCCTCGAACTAATTATTTTAGCTACATTGATTTGCCTTGAGAGTGGCGCCACCAGCCCTCGTACGACTTCTAAAAATATGTATATACCTTAGAAAAATTTGAATAACTAGCAGTTGTCGGTGTCATTGAACTACAATAGAAACTAAAATATTTTTAAAATAGTTACATCGGTGTGCACTCAATTATGATGGATAGTTTTCTTAAAGGGGTTAGGAGACGCCAAAAATAAAATGTGAGATAACTATCCTGCTAGTGCCCATTGTATGTTCCTATATTTCTGCCTAATTTGTTTTCAAGATGTCGCTATAGTTTCGTGGATAAACCGATTTATATTCGGCACCATCGTATTCGCCCCATTCGAAGACTGCCGTGGTTGTTGCGCGGCGTCCCTTTGCACGCACTCACAGACTTGGCTTACTTGGCGTCTCGAGGTTCAGCTTCCTCGTCTACTTTCCGCGTTTCGAGCATGCGGTCCGTGACGATTACGTCAACGGCATTGCTCGTTTCGTCGAAGCCTTTGACACTGATCGCAGCAGCGATGAGAGTCGTTGTTATCAAAATATGTTGGAAGCTGGTAATTCTGACTGGGCGACCCGCTGGTGACCAGCTTCAGCGACGACGAGTCACGGACGAACTCGCCATGGTCCCTGTCGTGCGTAACAATATCGCACGTGCTTTCGGGTGGAAGATCAAAAGGTCGAGGGCGAGAGCGAGAATAGCGTTGGAGTAGCCGAGCTGCGTGAGAGATTTTCATTTTAACCGTGGCGAGGCGAGCTTGAGCGATTATGGGTGTGCCTTGAATGAGAGAGCGTTCATCATCACCTGGTTTATAGACACCATGCTGTGACTAACTTGGACAGTGTTACCTGTCGCCAGTCGAAAACTATCATCATTTGTATATTTAATATTGAAATTACTAGAGGGCTTAAATTTGTTAAACTTGGTGTATATACTAAGTAGCCTATGAGCATTCAATATCAAGAATTATCTACTCCTTTAGACTTTTTATGTCATAACCCTCTTATAGAAGGTCTTATGAGACAATTAACCAATAGAAAAATCGGCTTTTATTTATAATATATATATATATATATATTGATATTATATGTAAATCTGCGGCGGAGGGAAATAACCTACCAATTTAGGTGGTCCAATAAAATCAAAGTCCCATAATAATTGAGCTATAAATATTTCAGACAACAGGTTTATCAGCAGCCATAATGTTTGCACCTCTAGGTTCCGTAACCTATAAAATGTGTACTTCCATTTCATAAGAGAGAGGGAGAGAGACGATGGCCTTAGGATGGAAGGCCATCGTATTTTTTGTGGCGTTGAAGCAACAGTACGGTATAACTTCAACCCCCGGGAGAAAAACAAATATATATGACCGCGAAGATGAGGAAGATGGTCTGTCGCAGGATGACTTAACCTTCACATCAAAGTACTGCCATTTATTCTTCTCCAGCAGCCAAACCCTTCGGTCGAGGCGACCTATATTTTTTCCCGGGCTAATACGACGATGAAGAGGAAGATGGGCTGTCGCAGGTTCCGTGCCAGCATCAGCGGTCAATAGCCTGCGACGGCTGGTTCGGATTTAACCCCCCAATTTGGAGACGTCTCGTTTCTGACACTCAATCATCATAGCAATGTAAACACTTTTGTGGAGGCGGGATTTCAGATATCAAAGCCTATTCAATAAGGGTTATATTTGCTGACGGCTTAAGAAACATAGGTCGTGACTTTTACCAAATATTCGGACTCGCCACGCCCTGAGTCCTCTCCGTGACCTTAGCTGTAAATATATGTAACAGACAATTATTTATGGTACTCTCTATTTACTGCAAAACGCAGTACACTGTTAGTGAATAGTTTTAACTGCTAGCAATATACCCTGTGTCCAAAATAGCGGCCAGGCTCTTTAAATCGACCGCAAAAATCGGTTTCTTAACCTATCGCGCTACGATTTTGTACAGCGTTGGCCACAGGTGGCGCATTTTTTCTATAGAGTTCGCAAAAAGCGAACTTACCTAAGGAAAAAGTAAAAAAAAGAAAAAGGCTTCACTCCTATGGAAATGCAGCGAAGCCACCGGTCTTGAAACCATAGGGCGTGAAACTTTTTTTTTTTTTTTTTACTTTTTCCTCGGGTAAGTTCGCTCTTTCCGAATTTTATAGAAAAACATTAGCACCTGTGACCCACACTGTACAAAATCGTAGCGCGATAGGTTAAGAAACGAACGTTTGCGGTTGATATAAAGAACCTGGCCGCTATTTGGAACACACAGTAGCATTTCTTTTTAATTATCTGATAACTGATCCCAGTGCTCAGGACTCTGTATCTGCCTTTACTAAGGTAATTGCACTTTCTTAAAACTCGCTTCTCACAGGAGACGAGGGCGTAACTACTCTAATGCTAGAACGTTGTTCGTTAAAGATCTGTTGGTCTAATATCGTAGTTACTTAGAAAACAGTACCCATAGAGACGCCGCTAAAATATATATTTTGTGTTGTCTGATGAATGGACAAGAATTCTCAACATCTTTGTGAAGGTTGATCACAAGCACTGCGCTATATATTCCAAGGTGATTTTTTTTTCAGGCCAATCGCCAACACAGCACCTCTTTAGAGCCAGTCAATGTATGAAAGCGGTATGGCCGTCGCTTAACTATTTTACAGATAGCACACATTTTATTTTATTTATGAAAACGCAAGTCAGAGCTACTTAAATTGAAGCATAGAAAATATTCAGTGTTGCCATGGTACGCAGGAACACCAAGAATTATTTCACTTCTGTATTGTGTTCCCGAAATGATTCATACATAAGATTTTTGAAAATCAAAACACATCGGTCACATGATTAATTCAATCAATAAAACGCCATGATATATTAATGTAACAGATTAGAAGTTATCTTGATAGAAAAAAAAACGACTGCAATATAACCGCAGTTCTAGCGTCAGGTTTGATGACAAACGTAACTAAACTTGAAAGCTAGTTTTTTTTTATTTGATGAAAATTAGTGCGTACATAAAATATGCATTTGATGAAGCGCAGCTCAAATAATTACATTCATTTGATATATCAATGATTTCTTTATTTATGCATTTGTTTTACCTCAAACCTCCCTTTAGGCACAAACGCTGTTAAAGCAACAAACAAAAGCGGAAATCAAATTCGATATTAAAAAGATCAGCCTGGTAAGTAATTTGCTTTGACTGAAACTTTATTTTATTTTCCAACTGCTGATAAGGATGTTTCATAGATTTTATTAACGTTAGATTATTTTATTTTTCGTAGAGTGATAAGGAACTTACAGGAAAGCTACTCAGCTGGACCAGTATGGGTAGCTGCGGTAGCGAGAGTCTAATGAATGCTGGCAAGGTCCTGGGTGCAATAAAATTGGAATCAACGTACTGGCCTCTCCGGCCACATATCATATGTGTCCTTACAAAGTGAGTACAATCCTTTAACATTATGTATTTCAGAGCCAAATCCAAACTGTATCACTGAGATAAAAAAGAGTCATAACTCGAGATAAACAAGTGTTAAAAGATTCCTCTTCTTTATTTCTGGTAATCCGAATAACCTCTGTGTGAAGTTTAGCTAAATTGTCCACTCCAAGGAACTTTTTTATTGCAAAAGCATTAACTATCAGATGGAGCGAAGCCGGCGTTGTCTGCAACTGCCTGTAGCAGCGAAACCGCACCTAAGGTCCCAATGGGCAGAAGCACAGCAACGCAGATGTTTCGTCCCGGAAGCTGGCGAGGGCGCTCAAGGTGAAAGCGGACGCGCCTCAAAAATAAAACAGAAAGAAAAGCGCAGCAACGCAGATGCATCTGGAAGATGCGCAGATGCGTCCCGGAAGCCGGCGGAGTTCGCCGCACCTGCCCATTGGGGGAGCGTGGTGTCACCGCCGGAGCGCCGAGTGAAAAAGGAAGAAGTGGCACTCTGCTTGTAGGAATGCGCTGCGTGCGGGAATGCGTAAGCATGCAGTCTTCAGTGCCTCTGCCAATTTTTGTGATGATAGCTAAAAAAAGGTATTGATGGCTTTTGTTGTTGTTTCCTCTTTTTATCAGTTTTAGAAACAGTGGTTGTAACATTCATTAATCTGGTCCTGAGCACAGGCAGAAATCGGAAAAGGCAGTTTTTAGACAATACAAAATGCATATTTGTGACAAAAACTTTGAGGTATTAATGAAGAAAAAAAAAAAGAGACAAAGCATGTTTGCTGTAAAAGAAAAATACGCAGCGTTTTCCAATGCAGCCCATGTTAAGCGGCGTAAGCGTGAACCAAACCAGCGCGTTTTTGTGCATGCGTAAGCTTTGCGCTTTCCGGAAATGACGTAATTCGTGACGTTTTTGCTGTTTCCGGGCCTCTCTCTGAGTAACGACCATGCGCGTTGGTTAGGACGGTGCGGCTTGGGGCGAGCTCGCACGCCCGTCTAGGAAGGAGATCGCCCAACACATGGGCAGTCTCCTTCCATGTGTTTTCCCGCTTCGGATGGTCTTTTTGGTCGCGCCGAAGCTTCCCGCGCAGCCAAGGGTAGTTTTGCATGAGCTCGATCAATCGAAAACACTTTCTCTGGTCATCGGGTACGGCAGCATCTGCGGCCCTCTGCGCAGCTTCGTCTTTCCTCTGCGCGTCCGCAGTAGCCTTCTTTTCAGCTGCAGAAGTCACCTTCCTCGCGTCGGAACAGATTGAAAGTTCTAAGACACAGCCATATACTTGCAAGCAAGCAGACAGAATTTATGCCAGACGGCGAAGAAACGCGCAGCCGGGACTATAATCTGTTTCATGCTTAGTGTGCGCCGCTGTCAAAGCTTTTGGCGCGACCATGGGGCTTGATCTCGTTGATCACTTGCACGCGTTCTCGCGCAAACAAGCCCATAGATGAAGCCACGCGCTCGCGCCAGTAGCTTTGACAGAGTTGCACGCTAAGTGTGAAACGTAGTATAGTTGCTTCCACTTTAACCTTCTCTAAAAAAAATAAAATAATAAAGCCTGGCAGATTGTCACGAGACGCGGCCGCCGATAGTGGAAATGAGGAGCGGCAGACAACGGATGAGCGGAGACCCATGTAATGGGCGCACTGTCGAGGCGAGACTCCAAACACACTCGTCCCGAGCGATGGAATAACCGCTCGTGCTCCCTGCGTTCCTCGCGCTACCGTTTCTTTTCTCGTCAGGTTACGCATGGCCTCCGAGATCCCGAAGCGCGCGAACGCTTCTCCGGCCGTCCCATTCGTGCGGAGAGGGCGTAATCGAAAAAAAGAGAAGGAGGCGGCGTGTGTCCGCGGGGAGGCGCTCCCAACCCAGTCATCGACAGCATGGCGCGAGGCTGAAGAGTTCAAGAAAAAGTAATGTTACGTCGAGTTACTGCAACTTATAGTTACAAATTGTTTGCGTATTGTGGCAGAACGGTGAACAGCTGCCTTGGGTACGTAGAAAGAAAAGTTTTGATGCTTATTTAATTATTTAATTTGAGATATTCATCTGGACATGTTGCGGCTAGCGCTACAAGCGCGCCTTTTGATTTATTTGATTGCAATCCGTAGCATGTATAAAACAAAAAAAAAAAAAGCTCCGCACATAAAAAAAATATTAGTATTTCCCTAAATAAAAATATTCGTGCTGAAATATTTTTTTTTTACCTTCGCACGTTGTTTGGCGCGTCCTTCTTTTAATATTTTAATATTTATTACGCAATTTTTGCGGGTCGTATTGCGGTGTTTGCTTCTACTATAAGTACCTTTAAGCCGAGGTCACACTGCTTACACATTATAGAAAAGACAGTCTGCAGATATCAGTCACCACGATATCCGTGGTTCAAATGCTGCGTGCCAACTGTCTAGTTGAACTCGTTGCCTTGGGGCATTCGAAGCTCAAATCTCGTGGTGACTCGAGTTTGAATCTCTTTGCAGACTGTCTTTTGTATACGATGTACAAGCAGCGTGGCGCCGGGTTTGGGGAAAAACTTATGGCGGTGAGGTACAACCACCTCGCAATGATTTCGCCATATTTTTTTTTAATATAAACTTCGTGATAATTGTAGGTACTCGTTGGAAAGGTGGGGCGTTATCTTATAAACGTCTAGTTTTTAGCACATGTAGCACAGTCTCTGCACAGACCACCGTATCCCGTAATGCACTTTGTGATGTAACTTAATTGATATGCAAACAAACAATGAGATCTCAAGAAAAAGAACTCTGGTTTATCCGCTATTCATTTCCGACAGCCGGCGCAGCCGGCTGTCGGCTACGCTTTATTTTAGCCCAGTATGAATAGCTCACAAATTGGGCGGCATGGCAGCTCGCTTGCAACTGTTACACATAAGTTGATTACTATACCTAATGGTAAATACTGTAAGCATTTTTCGGTGCTATTATTAGTTCGACCGATCTGCAGGCCAAGGCAGCTTGTTAAGAAAAATCATCCGATCTTCCTGTTTTGCGACCAAACACGCGCGGAAAGGACGAAAAAACAAACAATGACAAGCAGAAGTAAACAGAACCACGTGTCACAGTTGGAAAGAAAGGGATACATCGCGACGGATTTGTAGAAAAGACGGGCAAAGTTCTAAATTAGCCACTTTCGTTGCGCACGACCGTAAAAAAAAAAAAAAAAAACAAGAAAAAATAGCAACGTTGCCGTCTTTTGCGTTTACGAGAAAATGTTTAGGAAAAGTACCCATCAGGGGGGGAACCTCTTCACCCCTATTGGGGATGCAAGCACTCGTGCGTACAGATGGTTTACGCTGGCAAGGGTGCGCATTGTATAGGCGCGTGTATGTGCGTGTTTGTGGTGAGAAGCGATTGTATGATGGCGGCGGTGCCGCCGGGGACGAAAAGAAACGCCGCGCCGCTAGTCCTCTGGAAGAGCATTCGCTGCACACACCGAACTACACAAAAACATATTCCCACGCATACATGCTTCAGCATCTGTTTATCCCCACTGTGGTTTCTCTCCCAACCCCCGAACACAATCCCAAAAAACAAGCCGTCAAAAAAAAAAGTAATGGCCGGTTTGGTTTCTTTTGGCCACCCTTGTAGACGTGATTGCAAGGCCCTTACCCGGGCCAGGCCCTTCATGAATATCGACGTGAAGCCCAAGATCGGCCCGAGGGCCGGGCCGGCCCGTGACCCGCGGTCTAGCCCGTACCAGTGCAGATCTCTACCTGCGACGCGGACGGCTCGCCCTCTATTTTGACTGGGCAGACAGCGCCGCCTCGCCGCGAGCGACGGAGTTAGCGCAATTACACTCTTCTGCTGGGGAGCGAGGCGAATGGGACGGCCGGAGAAGCCTTCGCCCGCGCGCTTCGGGATCTCGGGGGCCATGGGTTACGGAACCATGTTTCGGGCCCTAGCCGCTGCAAGAGCTGTGCGCTGAATACCAGATTTCCCGAGAAATGAACTCTGCTACCAGATCCTCGCGCTCCAAATCTGCGACCGCGCACTCTATGGCTGCGTCGTCGAACTGCCAGGCTTTGTGAGTATAGACCGACACACTGTTTACAAACAAGCCCGCCTTTGCCCACACCAGGTGTGGGCACTGCGCGTGCGCAGAAACCGAATTTGGGAGGAGCGAAGCGTCTGCGCGTGCGCTGTGCTGCCAATAGCGCCACCGCAGCTGCATGACGTCAGGGCCGCGTGTTGGTCTATAAGGAGGCTATGCCACCACCGGTTGGCCGGGAGACAGGAGCGCCCTACCACGTCGCAGCGCGTTTTCTTGCGCCTTCAGAAAACGTTGAAAATATCAAACCTTCTTATGGCGCTCCCGGAAAGGGAACGGCATCAGCGCGATGTCACGAACTACGCAATTTCCGAAAGCTGCACGGCCTGCGCGCGCACAAAAACGTGGGGTTTTGGACCGCGCTTTACGCAACTAGGGCTGCAGCCCTAGTTGCGTAAAGCGCAACTAGGGCTTCGAAGCCCTAGTTGCGCTTTACACACACACACACACGCTGCACATGTGCAGTGATTCTCGCTGCACATGTGCAGTGAGAATCACTGCACATGTGCAGTGATTCTCATGTCGGAGTAACGTGATTTATAGTAAAACAAAAGCCACATGATTGTGTCGGAGAGAATTCAGAGACACTCGTGGGGGGTTCACGTGATTCTAGTCGCAAAACACAACAAAAAAAAGTCCAGTGAGTCTTCCCACCATCAAAAAGTGCAATCAGGTGACTCATATGTTGGGGTCGCGTGATTCTAGTGAAACAAGAGTGATATGATTTATTTGGAGAGAGTCCCCTTACTCTTGTGAAAATTATTCGCCTGACTCCAGGCAGGAGAAGGGTCACGTGACGCCACTGGGTAATAGAGCCACCACATTCTACTAGGGGCACAGTCCACTGAGTCCACCGAGCACTAAAGTCTGATGACTCTTTTAGAGGTATAACCACAGACAAGTCTAGACTACCTCAAAAGGAATCAACGTTGACCATTTTTTTTTAGAGTGGAGCTGCTATGAGCGCGCTGTAGACGAGCTTCCTAAGACCAACAACAGCGTAGAAGCATGACACCGAAATATTCAGTCTTCGCTCGTGTTTCAACATCCTGACCCGTACCGGCTCATCGAGGTCTTGAAAACAGAGCAGAGCCGCACCCAGCAGAAGATAATCGACGGCTTTGAACCTCCTCGGATTCAAATCGATACGCGAGAATCTCGCAAAGACTAGGGAACATTCTGCCCCAGTATGGCACACAGCCCCTCACTGACACACTTTTGGGCTGTCGCTTTTCTTAGTGCACGTAAGCTGCACGTACGTTAAACAAGAGTGCGTGTCAAATAAACAACCTTTACCAGTTCCACTAAACTCGTCATGTGTGATCTTCATTCTTCATTTGAGTAAATAGGGTGTCGCATTTGTATCGATATAAAACGCTAACGGATAAACAATCAAAGAATAATTAAAAAGAAGGCAAGAAATGTAGTTTAATTAGCTTGCGTTGGGGAGACTTTATATTACTAAACATGCACGAAAAACTATACACCCAGACGCGGCCCTGACGTCGCATTGCTGCGGCGGCACTGGTATTGGCATAGAGTGAGCATATTGCCCTGGTGTTATTTTTTCTTTTTTCTCTTTTTGGGGTTAAATATGTATATATTACGTGATACTTTAAATATTGTGCTGCTTTTTTTTTGTATATAGTGTTTTTGTACACGACACGTGCCCTCAGTTATTAGTTATTGGTGATAATTTTTGTCAGTATATTGTCATTGTTAAATTTATTATCACTTTTTACGTGCATTTAGTGCTCTTGTTTTCTATTTTGCGCTCTCGGCGCGTTTTGTATTTAATCTTGTAACCACTTTATTGTTCGTAGCTCTGTTGGAGGTATGATTCATATTCTTTTTTTGTGTGTGTGTGTGTTTGTTCCTCCCTGCCACGGCCCCACGGGCCAGCAGTATGTACAAATAAATAAATAAATGGCGCATGCGCACATGCTTCACTTGACGCGAATCTAGTTCCTGGGCACGCGCAGTGCCTGTACCTCATATGGGGACTGCGCGCTTGCCCACACCTGGGGGGGCTTGTTTGGAAAGAGCGCATTGGTTTATAAGTAGGTAATCAAATATAACGGCGCAGGTAATAATATAAACTCATATAACGGTAAATAATATAATGCAACGACACTGCACATATTCGACTGAAAACGTTAGCGGCAAGTACTTAATTTAGAGTGCTGATAACTACGTATCCTACACAAAAAAAAAAAAAAAAAGAAACGGCCCGCATTTAGGTGTTTGCTGTTTCGTTGTCCTGCTGTTTTGTCTTGTGCTGTTTTGCCACGTGCTGATTTGTCGCTGCACTCTTCGAAATAGGGGGCGTAGTACTTACGCCTTCATTAGACCCCATAACACTGTAAAAACTACAAATCGATGTTCAGTCCACTGACGTCCAACCGACGATACCAAGTTTCACGAGCGGTTTAATTGTCGAGTAAAACAACTTATTAAAATAGTTAATGCACAAATAAAACAGTACGGGAAAACACTGAAGGTTTTGTTGGCCATGCTGCGAAACCTCGGTGTTTTTGTTCTCTGTAGTCTTTGATACGTACAGTAGGTACTGAGTAAGTTATATCACACTGGCTATCAAGCCGCTCGTGAAAGTTGGTATCGACAGTTCATATATAGTTTTGGGGTTGAATATATGGAACAAGGGGTATAAGTGTTACATCCACTATTTCTAAAAGTGTGTGCTATTTTGAGGTGAGCTTATTTGACAGTGCTGTTTTATCGCGTGCTGTTTTGTCATGTGCTGTTCTGCCAAATGCATTCCTTCACTCTACCACGACTCGCCTCCTCCTGTTGCCGAGCGCAGAGTTCTATACTATCAAAAATTTAACTACGAACGAAATCTTAAGAAATACATATGAACACCCACATGCTTTGTTTAAATATTTCGCTTTACATATAAATATTTATAATGTTTAGTTTTATCATGTTCTACCACGAACTGCCACTATACGATTAGGATTCGTCTGTTTATATCGTGTTGTTACCGGCGTGGAGACACCTCTCAACAAACTTTTATTTCAGAAGCGCTTTACTAAACTGAGGATAGTAGTCAAACGGGAAACAATATACTACAGCGATCATGTATGCTCTCATTCTTACATAGGCCCTTTCACTATTACGTTTTAAAATCCAGAAATGTCTTTTTTCAGACTAAAACTCTACCAAGACGATGAAATTATTTGCAGGGTAAGCCTTTATTTTCTTATCAGGAGAGATATTGTGATAGTAGAAAAGTATTAGATTAAATATCGACGGGTATGTTTTGCGGACATTGCATGTTTATGTATATTCATAAGATATATGCAAAATCTTGCTTTAAAAGCACACTGTGATCTATACTTGTGAGAAATGTTGAACGTATGCTGCGCATGTTGAGGTTACGAACTTTTATGACAACTAGTATCTCAAACATCCCGATTAACTTGTCGGTATTCATATTCAAGGTTATGCAATGCACAAATCCCTTTGCACCTCTACGGTGCCAATGCTTTTAACTTATAATCAAGACAACATGAAAATTACTGGGCATCTTTTACATGAACTAGTAATGAACAGGTGAATCGTGTTTATTCACTGGTCAAAGTGTCCGTTGAAACCATTGTTAACTGAAATCTTTAGCCTTCAATTAATGTTTTTGAAATTACAAACAGATATTAGATTGGTGCTTTTAGATCTGGTTAATATGTAAATCACTCGTTACCCGATATGTATATTGCCCCGTCAATGGCTGAGAGGAAAACTTTTCTGTAGTTCTGAAAGATTCGCGTTTACTCTGACCCTAATTGATTCGATGTTACATTAGAATGTTTCACATACTAAGCGTAATGATGAAAAGGACAACATGACCTTGTCGATTTAATCTCCCGAGTGTTCGACGCTCGAACACTCGGGACTTCTAGACTGAATGCTCAAGACACTGAGTGTAGAAGATAAGGAGCCCAAAGTGGCCTTGCCGACTCACTCCCGCACTCACGCAGTATGTCACACCGACATGTCCACGCTCATCGCTGCTTTTTCGACGGTCGTTTTTTTTTAGAGCGCAGCTCTTAAGCCTGGAACACATTTGCGAAAAAAAGCCGAATATTGTGCGAAAACCGCACACGAAAATCGCACGGCAGCTAGGCTCCTCCCTTGCTCCTCCCCTTTTCCGAAAATCGGGAGCGGTTCGAAAGATCTGCAGCGCCAGATATTTTCGCACGGCGCCTCCGAATTTGGGGCGGAGGAGCTCGGTGAGCGAAAGCCCGGAACGGGACGGAACGAAAAGCTACGATCGGCTCGCAACATGGCGGCTCACGCAGCTTCGGAAGCAGCGCAGGCAACATCGTATGCCATCCCTGCGTTCTCATCTCAACCTTGGTTGAAAACCCCTTCTGTCTCTATCAAAGGGTGGTGGTACAAAGGCTCGCGTGGCATTCAACGAGGTTTTAATAGCTGAAGTTTTAAGAGGCGCGAAATATGGGACGCCAGTTCGCATGACTACCGAACAGCCTCCTGAAGTCGGAGCACGAAAACCGCAGCGAATTGCGATTTCCGCGCCGCGCATTCCACCTGATGTGGCTCGTCTTCCGAAAATCGCAAGCTACGATTTTCGCAGCCTCCGATTTCTCTCCGATTTTCGGTTCTTTTTTTAGCAAATGTGTTCCCGGCTTTAAGCCGGGAACACATTTGCGAAAAAAGGCCGAATTTTATGCGAAAACCGCACACGAAAATCGCACGGCAGCTAGGCTCCTCCCCTTTTCCGAAAATCGGGAGCGGTTCGAAAGATCTGCAGCGCCAGATATTTTCGCACGGCGCCTCCGAATTCGGGGCGGAGGAGCTCGGTGAGCGAAAGCCCGGAACAGGACGGAACGAAAAGATACGATCGGCTCGCAACATGGCGGCTCACGCAGCTTCGGAAGCAGCGCGGCGTAGGAAACCCCTCCTGTCTCTATCAAAGGGTGGTGGTAGAAAGGCTCGCGTGGCTTGCAAAGAGGTTTTAATAGCTGAAGTTTTAAAGAGGCGCGAAATATGGGACGCCAGTTCGCCAGACTACCGAACAGCCTCCTGAAGTCGGAGCACGAAAACCGCAGTGCATTGCGATTTCCGCGCCGCGCATTCCACCTCATGTGGCTCGTCATCCGAAAATCTCATGCCACGATTTTCGCAGCCTCCGATTTCTCTCCGATTTTCGGTTCGTTTTTTCGCAAATGTGTTCCCGGCTTTAGGCGCGCGTTTTCGGCTTGAGCGCCGTCGGCGTAACCGCGCGGTGCATTATGGGACATTTCCCATGATGCGCTGCTTGGGGAGATTGACGAAGCGGAGGAGTGGGAGGAGCAGGGGTGGATGAGGGGGAAGAGGAGGAGGAAAGAGGGGCAGAAGAGGGAGGAGGAGGGGAGGAGGGCGGGAGGAGGTGTTTACGCTTCCCTCAGTAACCTTGTCCCCTCCTCCTCCTCAAGAGCTGCGCTCTAGTTCGGCGTTACGGAGTGTTGTAAACGGTTTTCATTTTTTTTTCTTTTTTGTTAAAGAAATCTTGCGGATCGAAAAGAATTGACGAGCGCAAAACGGAAAATAAAGGTTTAACCGCCGAACTTGCGTCCAAAGCTAAAGAAAAAACAAGGGCCGATAAAGCGGCAGCGCCATGGTGTCGGCCTGGCAGCTCTCTAGTGCGAGAGTGCGGGAGTTAGTCAGCAAGGTCAGTCTGGGCTCCTAATCTACTACACTCGGTGTCTCCAAGATTTGGTCTAGAATGTTCGAGCGTCGAACACGCGCGAGACTGACTCGGCAAGGTCATGGCGGCCTCCTGCTCTATTACACTTGGTATTTGTAACATTCCAATCGAACGTCGAGTCGCTTGGGGGAAGAGTAAATGCGAATCTTCCAGAAGTACGGAGAAGCACTCATCTCGGCCATGTACACGGCAATATTACTTGGTTATTTCCATTAGCACAGAACTAAATTAAACAAGACGAGCGAAACTTGGAACTTTTCCTAGACGGAACGTGGGCTTGTATTATTGTAACAAAATGCTGGTTACTAATGTTCCATTCACGTACTTTTTTAGAGGAAGATCCTGGGACAAACTCAATTGAAGACCTATTGAGTGTCATCATAATTAAAATTATATTACGCTAGAGTTTGAATGGGTACATATAACATTTGCGCTCTTATCATATAGCATGCATTGAGCGGTGCTTATCGCCCATTATGTTTCCTTTGTAAATTAAAAAAAAAATTGAAAGCGATTATTTCTCTGTTAAGTGTGATGGTGTATGGAAAAGCGTGCCAGCATTGTTCCCTTTAACGTCTTTCGACAACCTCGGTGCCGCGTGATGGTGCTAGTTAACAAATGGTAAGCGACAGGTAATAGGGGCATCATCGCAGTATGTCACAAAGAGGGTTCCAGGCAACGACCTTTAGTCGTACCTTAGAGCGGTAAACCGGAACCCACTGCCTGCAGCGGAAATGGCACCCCCCCCCCCCCCCGGGTTGCCGCCATCTTGCCTGTTTGCCAAATTAGTGATCACGTGACGTTAAGATGGCTGCGCCCAGGGGTGGCCAGATCAGATTGGCAAGATCACCGCCAGCAGACGGGCACTCTAGGGCTGCGTTCCAATCTTACTCGATGGATCCGAGTTATTCCGGGGGATCAAGTCACGTGACAAGACGACAGATACAGCAGTGCTGGACGCGGGTAGGTTTTCGAACGCAACGGGTACGAGACCTTCACCCACGAGTGAGATAGAAGCTGCGTTCGATTTCCTTGCACCTCCTGCACCGGTGCAGAAAAGTGTAGGGCAGTATTCATGGCTTGCACATGACGTCATTTCGGTGACCTCCAGAAAAAAGAAGAAAAAGGAGCTCCCCACTTATCAGGATCTTCCTTTGTACCACCGGATTTGCACAGGCGTCGCTATTCTCCTCCCAGAAGGTTATAGAAGATGAACCCGTCGCTCAAAATTCTTACAAAAGCGGCTTCCCTCTCTTCCTTTTACATGGTGATCAAAAGTATGCGATGTGACGTCAGTGCAAGGAGCCTATTGAGGTACGACCGGAAGTACACCGCCCTACACTTTTGTGCACCGGTGCAGGAGTGCAAAGAAATCGAACGCAGCTACTATCTCACTCCTGGGTGAAGGTCTTGTACCCGTTGCGTTCGAAAACCTACCTGCGTCCAACACGGTTTCAATAGAAGTCGCCATACCTTCTGCTTAATAAAAAAAATGTAACGCAGAATTCCCTGTGTAACATATTGTAATGATCCCTAGATTAGTCTTACGAACTCAGTGGTTGATCTGAAACGTTGATTTATTCTGCCTTCTTCCGTACCTCGATCTCATCTTCTTTTTCTTTTTTTTTTTTTTTCTCTCGCTCCTCGTCGTTGTTGCCGATCTGATCCGAATCCACTTCACTCTACCACGCCTTGGACTCATCCATCCTTGGATGATATTGAAAGACATTTCCAATTGACGCGGTTTCCTTGGTGTTCCTAGGCCCGATGTGCCAGATAGTTTTTAGGGCTCCTTGTTACGTTGCTGTTTTTTGAACGCGGAATGGTCCGTCGAAGCATTTTCTTTTACTGAGTGGCTCCCGTCTAACTAGGAAAAGGTCATCAACCTTAAGCTTCGGGATGTTGGTGTTATGACGCTTGTCGAAGTTGTATTTCATGGAGTCTCTGTAAGTTCTGGTTTCGGCGTCAGTTTTCAGTCTTTCTTCGAGTCTCAACTTCTCTGTCAGTCCCAGTTCGTAGTCTGCAGGAAGGAAAGGTGCCACTCCAGTCGCTACGAATTGTGGGCTGCAACCTAGGCCCATCGTGAAAGATCGGTTGTGGTGAGCAACTGCTGGTTCGAGGCAGCATTTCCATCCACCTGGAAAATCTTGGTAAAAGCTGATAAACTGCTTTATGTCCCTAATTGAGCGTTCAGCCAAGCCATTTGCAGCAGGGTGGTACGGGGCCGAGAACTTAAGAAGAATGTCGTGCTCCTGTGCCCACTGTTTTAGCTTGTTGCTTCGAAAGGCAGGTCCGTTGTCCGACCAAACTATTTTGATGTTCTTAAAGATGGCTCGACTTAAGAGGGTAATTACGGCGTTCGCATCCTCTTTCCCGGATCTTGCAACCAGTGTTCTGGTGTATTCATCTATGCAAAGCAAGAAGGCTTGCGTCTTCTTGACTCCCTCACCTTTCTTTTTCAACTCCGCAAAATCTAGATGAACAACCTCGAATGGTTTTTTCGAGTATTCGGGGAGCGTCGTCTCATCCAAGGTTTGTTTAAACTTGACTTTGTGCATTTGGCAGCGATGACACGATTTTACGTACCGTTTCGTATCGTGCTTCATGTTCGGCCATGAGAACCTTTTCGTTAGCTTCTTGTACGTCCTCCAAAATCCATCATGGCCGCCCGACGCTGGGCTGTCGTGGTAAAGCGTCAAACTTTTGGGTACAAGAGTGCTGGGAACATGGTACCTCCTATCCTTGAATGTCAAAGTTTCGGTCCCTTCCCAGAGTTTCGGTTGATTTATGGTTTCCGGATTGTCTACGTTTGGTGACATTAACAATCGCGATAAGGCATCCGCATCTGTCAGGTAGACGCCGGGCCGGTGAGATACCACAAAGTCAAACTGTTGAAGCTCGTTGATCCACCTTGCTAATCTTCCTTTAGGCTGAGTCATGCTGAGCAGATGTGTGAGGGCTTGGTGATCTGTGAACAACTTAAATCTTGCTCCCTCCAGGTAAGAGCGGAAGTACCTCACCGCTTTGAGAACCGCTAGTGCTTCCTTCTCAGTAGTAGTGTAGTTCAATTAATTCAAGCTTTGAGAAGGTGCAGCTGTAATAGCCAACGATTCGCATTTGGTGATGACCTTGCTGTGGGATGTCCCGCTGGTATAAGACAGCTCCTCCTCCGTAATGAGAGGCGTCGGTGTTAAGTTCAAAAGGGAGTCTGAAATCGGGTATACAAAGAACCGGATCAGAAGAAATTATCTGGACTAAGCTACGAAATGCGGTCTCACATTCACTTGTCCACTCAAATTAGACATCTTTCTGCATCAGCGTGGTGAGGCAGATTGTTTTCAAGGCATAGTCCTTAATAAATGCTCGAAAGTGTCTAGCGAGCCCCAGAAAAACTCTCAAAGAATGCACATTGTATGGTGTGACCATTTTTGAAACTCTGATGACGGATTCTTGTTTAGTACTCTTCGTGGAGCCATCAAATACCCGGCCCAGAAATATCACCTTGCCCTGAAAAAACTCGCTCTTTTTAAAGTTAATTTTTATGCGGGCCCCGCTTAGTGCTGACAACACGTTGGACAGGTGTTCAACATGCTCCTCCATTGATTTGGAATAAAATAGGACATCATCGGATGTACACCTGGAAGAAGGTTCCGATGTATTCGTTCAGAACTGTTGTCATCATTTTCGGAAACCATGCGGGTGAATTTTTCCAGCCAAACGGTAGTCGGTTGTATTCATACAAACCGAAAGGTCTCGTGAAGGCCGTGTACAATTTTGTATCTTCGGCCAATGGTGCCTGCCAGAAACCTTTACAGAGGTCGATCCGTGAGAAGACCTGGCATCCACCCGTTTCATCAATAATGCTGTCAATTCGAGGCATCGGGAAAGAAATCAGGGCTGTCTGTTGGTTGAGGGCGCGATAGTCCGTACACAACCTGAAGGACCCGTCTTCTTTAGGAACGATGGTCACTGGTGAGGCAAAAGGTGAAACCGAAGGTCGGATAATGTCTGCATCCAGCATCCTCTGTAGTTCCTCTTTCAGCCAGGACTTCTTTTCTCTTGTCATGTTGCACGGATTTTTACGAATAACGTTTTTGTCGGTGAGTACGAAAGGTACTTGAAATTCGGTGGTGGCAGGAGGATAGGTGGTGACACAAAACAGTTCTGGATACTTCTGGCTAACCTCTTTTTGTCCGAACAAGTTTCAGTTCTCGTCCTTGAGTTTGTGGGAGAAGTGAACTGTTGGTATCAGGTTGTCTTTCCACCGAGACTTCATCATTCCAATAGATGTTGATCCTGAGTTTCCTCTTGTCAGGCCTGGACAACACAAAGTCATATTCTACCCCATCCATAACTAGTGCTGAAGTCTCAGCACATCGCCCTTGAAACACAAGTACAACGTTAATCCAATGATGAGGAAGTTGTCATTTTTTGTCGTAACTTTGCACGTAGACCATCTTTCCGTTGTAAACCTTGTCAAGATTGGCCATGGTTTAGTTGATGATAGAAATTGATGCTCCACTGTCCACCAATGCCTGCATTTTTGACCAGTCCACTGTGATTTCTATGTGTAATAAACTCGAAGAAGCCAAATAAACAGTCTCCAGGTTTGTCCTCGGGTGGGACTGTGCACCCTCGTTTATTCGTTTTTTCTTTCTTCTTCCCCAGTGCGGAGGGCAGTTTTCCATGGGACCAGCCTGTGTTGCAACCAGGTTCGGAGACCGGTTCCAGTCGAAATTACGCCGCTGTGGACGATCGTGTGGACGATCGTGTTCTCTACCCGTTGAGTCTTGAGTCATCCGACTGCTCTGATACTGATTCTTGTCAGCCAGTGGGTTGGGCAGGTCCTGAAGGCACTGGAGTAGCGCTTCAACCGACTTCGGAGATCTTACTTGAACTTGCCTTTGCAGGTCTCGTGGAAGCCCGTGGGTGATTAGGGCTACTGTTGCCGGTGGCGGTGGCCCTGGTTCAGCAAGTTGAAGAAGTCTTCTCTTCTCGTAGAAGTACTCCAGTGGAGAACCTGATCGGAACTTAAAGAAGATCGCGCGGTCCCATCTCTCTGCAGCGTTTTCCTGAAAACTCGTCAAAAAGCTATCTTTCCAGTCGCTCCAGGTTGCCGCGGGGTGGTCCCCCTCTCAGGTGCATGTCATACCACTTCTTGGCAATTCCATTGAGATAAAGACACATGTTCTTAATCCTATCCTCTTCGGTTACCCAGTAGTTCTTTTCTGCGGCATACTCATAAAAATCGATCCAGGCCTCCGCACTTGCAAAGAAACCATCGAATATGTCCGGCTTGACGAGCTCAAAACGAGGTCTTTGTGGGGCTTTCAGTGCCGAGACGATCGCTCCCATCAGCTCGGTTTGCTGTGCCATTTGCTGCTGCTGCAACTGTAACGACTCCATCATTATTGCTACAGTAGAAGTTGACGTGTCCGGGCGATCTAGGTGATGGAGGCTTGGTTTTAGAACCAAGCCTTCAAATGCCGAAAGCTGGATATTCACCTTAGCCGACCCTTTGCTGATGAGTTCCTCGGGTGAGAGCTTGACCTTTTGAAGAACCAACTCGATGAGCTCCGGAGTGCTGACGTGTCCAGGCAGCTGTCGTTCATCATCGTCTTGTTAGTACCTTACGAGCTCCACTTCGTTGTTGGCCGTTTTTTTCACGGTAAATGTTACCCACATGTTGGTTCCTGCTTGAGAATCCTGTCGACTGCGCCAAATTGTAATGATTCCTAGATTAGTCTTACGAACTAAGTGGTTGATCTGAAACGTTGATTTATTCTGCCTTGTTCCGTACCTCGTTCTCATATTCTTTTTCTTTTTGCTTTTTTTCCTCTCGCTCCTCGTCGTCGTTGCCGATCTGATCCGAATCCACTTCACATATAACTTCAGTATAATTAATAATGATATATTAATTGATTATCACTCTTGCTTGCGCTTGCCAAATAAGCCCGACAACTTTTATAAGTGTCTCTACCCAGATTCTTCATCACTTACATAACGTTCAATCCAGGCACGTATCCAGGATTTAGCTTCGGGGGGGGGGGGGGGGTGCGGAGGGGGGGGGGGGCGCCCATGATAAAATGTTGTATGAGGGGGAAGGGGAGAGGAGGCCCCAGAAAACTGAAAGATTTCGGGGGGGGGGGGGGGCATGTCCCATGCCCCCCCCCCCCTGGCTGCGTGCCTGGTTCAATCTAACGCTGTAACTAGAGTGAATTCTACAGCGTATACAAAAACCGCGGAGACTTTCCTTTACCTGAATTGTTACTTCATTATATAACTACAATAAAAAAATGTAACCTTTTTTATTCTGCAGCACTGCCTATCACTTCCGTAATATGGGACAATACTTCGAGTAAGTGGTTAGTTTTCTCGTGTTCATGGACGATATTTATACATTACTAGGCAGACTTTTGCTGAAGCAAAATTTCCTACTTAAGTATTCAGCAACTAGGCATTTCTCGCATGCAGACTTCTCTGCTTCCGTTCATTGGAGAACACTTTTTTTAGAGACTAACATTACAACGCTTCTAAAACTTGCACGAGAGTCCACAGTATACTAAACTGTCTGTCTGTTCAGGTTCAAACATTAGATTAATTTTCTGTCTTATCTTAAAAGTGGGAACATTCAGAGGTAAACATATAAATTCTATACCCAGGATTCGAGGACACGAGCGCGCCGACACTACTTGCGCCATCTATCGGCAGCGGTGGCGGGACGGCCCGTAACTCAATGGGACGAACTATATATTTTTTATTTCACGAAGTTCTAAGCGTCGCATTATTTTGCTCTCAGCGACCTTTTTTAGTAGATACCCTTTTTGTTCATTGTGCGAAATTTAAGGACTGTATGTCTATGATAAATAGAGCCAACTGGCAATCGGAAAAAAATGCATTATCCTTATGGGGGTACTGTGATTTACAGAGAAATATTTGAGTTCAAACTTGATTTCCAAACTAACCACTCCGTATCGCGAGCTGCTCTCTACGGTTATATAAGCTCCAGTTCCCCAGCTACATCATGGTACTATTTTCTTTGCGATCCGATAATTCTACGAAGTGCCCTCGTCATTAAAAGAACAAAAGGCAGGGCTCTCCAAATGAATTCAGGGCCGTTTAGAGCAGTAAAAAGCTGTTTCTCGCGCATAATGGCAAATTAAATAAATTAATCTTACCATGTATACTACATGATAAATGTGCATCATTCATTCCAAGCACATATTTACCAAACCCCGGGGTTTGAACCTGGAGTTCCTGAATAAAAAAAAATATAAATGAAATTTGAATTAGTTTTACGGTGGGGCAAGAACGTTTCTCCGGAAGGTAAAAGCATTTCTCTGTAAGGAAGATACGATATTACATCTAATTTCTCAAATCAAGGTAAAAAATATGTATTTATGAAGCAGCACTAACGCCAAGCACACGAATAGAAAAATTATTACGCGGACTTCAACCACGCAGTTATAATAATGATGTGATTTTAAGTGCACTTGAGAATACATTTTTGACTTGCCGTTCTTGAACGAGTTATTTAAATATGATCTTAATATAATTAATTAAAATTCATCTTAATCCTTTGGGCATACTCAAGACAGAAAATGAGCAGCGTGTTATGAGCTGCGCTGGGTATTTGTTTGAGATTTTTTAAACCCTTTCGGAGGTACAATATGTCCGATGATCACGTGGTTGGGGCACGTGATGTCACAGTGTCGCGTCATAACGTCACGTCACGTGACACAATGTAGAGTTATGTCATAGTATCTTGACATCTTGACATCGTGATTTTTAGTGTCACGCCTTGGTGTCAAGTCACGTGCATTGTGTAGTATTGCGTGACGCTGTCACATGGTTAATATCACGGGACGACGTTATGATGATGAAGTAACGGGGTCACACCTCGCTTATAATGTCACGTGACGATCGTGCGCTAAATTTGGCAGGTGATTTAGCATTTCTGCAATGCATTCTGTAAGTTGTACATAGTGGGACCTAATTAGCTATATTTTGTGGGCGTTTGACGGTTTTTAGAGGCGGTTCTCGTGACAACTTGTCACGCTTTCTGAGCACAGCGGGATTACACGTATGAAATTGACCGCCTAAACGCGAAATCGCGCGAGCCGCGGCCTTTGAATATGTTCTCGGCGAAAACGCGCCGCGCTCGTGAGACGCGCAAGATGGTCGCTTTGCATGTCAGCTTCTTGGCAGTAGTGGCTATACAGATCTCTATTGTGTACTCCGTTCACCCCTGGGGTATCCACACGAAGGAGAAATCCCCCACTTTCCTCCGAGGATCGCTCATCACGTGAGACATACGTCATCCCTTTTTGACGCCTCGCGTCGCCGTTCTCCCGTTTTCCTCCGTGGCGGAGGCGCGGAGGCTTCGTGCTGTCAGCACGAAAGCTACCAGCGTGCGGTCGTGTATCACTACTGCGTGATGCACGTTAAAGACCCCAGGCTAGCGGCTGTACCGCACTGGCTCAATTTCTCATCTACAGCTGGGAGACTTGTCGCCCCCGTGAGGCAGACCAAGTTCTAGGCTGTATAAACACACACACAACCCAATTATTATTCCACATGTGCACGCGGCAGAGCCGGAGACGGAGTTTCCCGGGTGGTTGACGTCATGACATCCGTCCGCGGAGTTCTCCTTCGTGTGGATACCCTAGAATCTCCGCTTCAGCACGAGCTCGCTCGCTTCCACAGAGCTTTAGTTGCGCGTTGCGCGTTCACACTTGTGTTAGCAAGGGCAGTAAGCTCGCGCGGAAGGTGGAGCTTCTAGTCTCAGCTTAAACGGCGTATAGTAGGCTGAAATGCGGATCAGGGGAACGTCGGTGGCGCCACAGGTGGACATTGATTGACCCCAGATGATACACACAAGTCTAAGGGAGAAACACAAAGAAGAGGAATATTGAAGCTTGTACGCGGTGCTCGAAGCCAAGTATTTTATGATGTGCTGCGTTCATTATATCAGGTGTTTGGAGACCGAATCGGTAGAATTCAAGTATTCGAACGCAGATTAAAAAAAAAAAAGCGCCAGAGCACCACCGATTGTGCCGGCGTCGCTTGCTTCAGTTGCTAAATAAATGACAAGTTCAGCAAATGAACGGCACGCTACAAGCTTTAAATCGTCAAACAAGTCCTCACTGAAGTTTAAAGCAAAGGCTCGCCCCAGCAATGGTCTGTGCAAGCTACCGAAACGATGCAAATGTCCTCAGCAAAGGCCAACTTACCGCTTGCTAGCCTCTGACGACGTCCAGATCATGAACGGCTCCACATTGTCTGTCGGCAACTCTTGTCTTATTGAACCGCATCACAGTTTGCACCCAACAAAGCCACAACCCTCGACCCTAAACCAAAAATCAGTTATTAAAATATATTAGTATTGTATCGCTTTTGATAATTGCGACGAGAATATTAACTTTCATTCCCACATAACATAAAAGTCTCATCGTCGAGAACAGCTTACTAAGGTAAGAAGTAGCAGTTTTCCCCGTTTTTCCCGCAAAGTTTCATGCATTCCCTTGTGTGAAGCAATAGGTGACGGTGGTGCCGCTCGACCCCAGCAGTAAATAACGGTCGAAAAGGGGGCGTGGTCCGCAAATATTGGGAAAAGGTACCGCTTTCAGGAACCTAGGGTCCTGCCCTGAGTGCACTCTAACTCCCCACATATGATAGCAGGCTTCGTCAAATTTTAGAATCCCGGAGAACATTCTCACCTAGGGTTCAACCCTCAGAGTACTCTAGCCCCACACAGATGAGAGCAGACATGGTCTAGTTTTAGAATCCAAGGGAGCATTTCGGGAATCGGATTACTTCGCGAGTTATTTTAATTAGAACATACCCTCTCCCTTCAAAAACGGCCAAAGAGGGGGCGTGGTCCGAAAATTTGGGCAAAGGCGCCGCGCTCAGGCACCTAGGGTTCAACCCTCAGAGTACTCTAGCCCCACACATATGAGAGCAGACATGGTCTAGTTTTAGAATCCAAGGGAGTATTTCGGGAATCGGATTACTTCGCGAGTTATTTTAATTAGAACATACTCTCTCCCTTCAAAAACGGCCAAAAAGGGGCGTGGTCCGAAAATTTGGGCAAAGGCGCCGCGCTCAGGCACCTAGGGTTCAACCCTCAGAGTACTCTAGCCCCACACATATGAGAGCAGACATGGTCTAGTTTTAGAATCCAAGGGAGCATTTCGGAAATCGAATTACTTCGCGAGTTATTTTAATTAGAACATACTCTCTCCCTTCAAAAACGGCCAAAAAGGGGGCGTGGTCCGAAAATTTGGGCAAAGGCGCCGCGCTCAGGCACCTAGGGTTCAACCCTCAGAGTACTCTAGCCCCACACATATGAGAGCAGACATGGTCTAGTTTTAGAATCCAAGGGAGCATTTCGGGAATCGGATTACTTCGCGAGTTATTTTAATTAGAACATACTCTCTCCCTTCAAAAACGGCCAAAAAGGGGGCGTGGTCCGAAAATTTGGGCAAAGGCGCCGCGCTCAGGCACCTAGGGTTCAACCCTCAGAGTACTCTAGCCCCACACATATGAGAGCAGACATGGTCTAGTTTTAGAATCCAAGGGAGCATTTCGGGAATCGGATTACTTCGCGAGTTATTTTAATTAGAACATACTCTCTCCCTTCAAAAACGGCCAAAAAGGGGGCGTGGTCCGAAAATTTGGGCAATGCGCCGCTCTCAGGCACCTAGGGTTCAACCCTCAGAGTACTCTAGCCCCACACATATGAGAGCAGACATGGTCTAGTTTTAGAATCCAAGGGAGCATTTCGGGAATCGGATTACTTCGCGAGTTATTTTAATTAGAACATACTCTCTCCCTTCAAAAACGGCCAAAAAGGGGGCGTCGTCCGAAAATTTGGGCAAAGGCGCCGCGCTCAGGCACCTAGGGTTCAACCCTCAGAGTACTCTAGCCCCACACATATGAGAGCAGACATGGTCTAGTTTTAGAATCCAAGGGAGCATTTCGGGAATCGGATTACTTCGCGAGTTATTTTAATTAGAACATACTCTCTCCCTTCAAAAAACGGCCAAAAAGGGGGCGTGGTCCGAAAATTTGGGCAAAGGCGCCGCGCTCAGGCACCTAGGGTTCAACCCTCAGAGTACTCTAGCCCCACACATATGAGAGCAGACATGGTCTAGTTTTAGAATCCAAGGGAGCATTTCGGGAATCGGATTACTTCGCGAGTTATTTTAATTAGAACATACTCTCTCCCTTCAAAAACGGCCAAAAAGGGGGCGTGGTCCGAAAATTTGGGCAGAGGCGCCGCGCTCAGGCACCTAGGGTTCAACCCTCAGAGTACTCTAGCCCCACACATATGAGAGCAGACATGGTCTAGTTTTA